AATATAATTGCTTATATTTTAACATTATAGACTTATTTCAGAATAAGAGCTCCGATTCGTGTCTCCCCTAATTGTACACGCTATCTCCACCGTAAAACATTCAGTGGATTCTGATTCGCATCTTCCTTAATTATATGTACAAATTATCTCCTGCAAAACCGACACTCACCCCATACCTAGGAAATTTACATCAGATACGCAGGAAACTTTGGGATATCGTTCCGACAGCCATTCCGGCAACCTGACGTGACGTATCACGACGTGACTTGAAACAGAAAGTGAAGAGGGTACCTTGTACATTACGAGAGAAAGGAGGGACCCATCGAATCAATAGGATACGAGCAACTATATAGGGTGGACGTAATTTCGAAGAAGTTGTAACGATTAATATAAATGTCATGAAAGAGAAAAAGTATGTCTATTACACCCCTATAAAGGCCACGATGTAATGGGAATGTTGCATGGTGATACTTCCGGTATAGGGGAAAATGACTCCCCGTCGTCATGTTCGTCTCTCGAGGCTGGTTTTATCATCGAGGGACAGAGATAAATGTATCATGAACAAGGGGGAGAGTTATTATTTGCCTCTTTTTCTCGGCGGTCGCGTATTTTGCGGCGAGACGGATTGGCGACGTCGTCCATAGGTTTCTGCTCGTCGAGGATCGTTTACAACGATCGCGTGTTCCGTGAGTAAACGACGTCGCGGCAGCGGAAATAAATCGACCGCGATGACAAACTAAGCCCGTTAATGGTACATTCTGTACTTTATTAGAAATATCGGTATCTATCTAAAATCTAGGCTGAAGTATAGCCATCGAGTTTATATCGAGAATAGATATAGATTATTAAACAGATATCAAATTAACATAACATATTCCATTCTATAACATTTTATAATATTCATAATTTATATATGATTATTCGAAACATGAAACATCAGTGTTTTGATATTATGTGTGTGTTTGAGAGCGTATGTGAAACGATGAATTAAGAGTAGATATATCTCGTCTTCTAAATCTCATGCGACCGTAAATACGATATGATGCATGCATACATAAAAGAGTAATGGTCACGTTATTTCTTTTATGCAATTCAAATAACCGCAATTCAAATAATACGCCGACGATTATTAATGAATTATCGTCACAGATTCCGAGGATTATGATCACTTAGAGGATGTATAGATTGCGGTTTTTCCTGAAATTACAATCGAAGCTAAATTTAAATAAGAATTACCAAGTATATAAGTGAAATATAATGAAAGAAAAATAGTCACAACGAAATGATTTGAAAGTGTGCAATATCAGAGAAAGTGTGTAACATCAGGGAAAATATGTAACAATAGATGTTTTATTTTTATCCGTTATTGCACAGTTCGAAGTTATCGATCGCCTTTTTGCCAAGTAGCGTACGTTTATGAACTCTTCTTGTCACGAAAGAGAAAGAGAGACACAGGGGATTTCTTGTGCGTCAACTTGGTCGTGAAAAATACAGGAGTTCCGACAATTGTCGAGCGAGAAAATCCAATAGCTCGGAAAAATCGGAAAGCCGCGTAGTTTTGTGGCAGAGAAAAGCTCCGAATGATGTTTTCTACTCCGGGGTGATGGAGCACTATGTCACATCTTGCGCTGGCCCCCGGGAAAAGAGTATCACAGCTATCAAGTAGAGAAAGAGCACTGTTATCGAATAAAATTGGTCACTCGAAATCGGAGTTTTTAATCTTAGTAATCGGAATCATCAATATTATGTGTGTTCGTTTATTAGATTTCTATCAGTTTCCGATATGATACAGTTCTTTTATCAAAATTAAATTAAACGTCACACATATCTTATATTGAAAGAAAAGTTTTATATCTAAATATCTATAATATATATATATATCTTTATAAAAAAATTAAACATTTACAATATTTAATATAATTTATTTCTAAAATCAAAGTTTCTTGAAATAAAAGTACACCTAAAAGTTCTTTAAACATAAAACATTGTTATGAGAAAACTTCTCTTTTCTTTCTCGTGTTTCATATTGATATTAATTAATTATCACACAATTGATACGATCTCGAGATTTTAAACATGGAAAAATATATTTCTAGCCTAATTTTTTCCTCGTGAAATTCTCCGTCTCTGCCGCATTTTTCTCTAATAGCGCGGGATTGTATTTTATTCTTTCTCTATTAGTGTCGTCACAATATCCCGACCGATGGTCGTTCATTTTCAAAGAGAAATCAGGCCGCGCTATATCGTACGCTAGAATGGAGCTGAACGATAACGCGCGGATAGCTAGTAACAACAAGAGGGACCGGGAGGAAGGGAAGAGGGTTTAAAATTACGACTGTATATTAAGCACAAGCGAGCGATATGAATAGACCGAAGGTATGGTTTATCTTAGCATTGTCGAAACACACGGAAGATAGGAAGAAAAGGAAGATAGCAATATTCTCCTTTTTTCTTGCCGCGAAATGAATATTCATCGTTTCGGTATATGTTAATATAAAGGAAGAAATAGAAGGTCAATTGTAATAAAGAACAAATCGAACGCTTGCACGACGAATGTAATATGTGAGAGAGTAATAAAAATACAAAGTGCATAAACCTGTGAAAATAATGAAAATAATAAATCAGTATCTCTCGTTTAAATTTATTCAGTTTTATTCCAATTGTTAATTTGGGATTTGCATATTATTTAATATTTTAATAAGTTAAATCGAGCATTTACAAACGAAATTAAACTTTGTTTTTATGCTTTTAATTAATTAATTAATTAATTATGCTTTTAATTATTGAATATAGAATAAAAAAATAATTAAATATAATTAAATTCATAGACGATAATATAAAATATATATAATAAAGCTTTCAGATTTTTGGAAAGATAAACCTACCGTTATTTACATATATAAAACTTAACGGAAATTTTTGATATTATTTATTTTATTAGTCATCTTTGAAGAAAATCTCGGAATTTTTCGAGATAGTTCAATTTTCTATGCAGAATCTTTAAGAAATGCACTATCTCTCTCTCGATAGCGCAAAGTCATTAAACTTAAAAACCCGAAATTATGATTCAGACCAGAATATTCAACATCTATATGATAGTCAGTAAACTGTAAACTATTGGCCATTTTCAATCGGCCGTGCAGTAAAGCGCGCATGTTGAGCTTAATCCTCTTACGTTCCACTTTCCGAACCGCAAGCGCAGCCAGCTTCCTCCTCGATCTCGTTCTATTGTGTGTAATTCAGAGATTGCAAGAGATTCGCGCCATTCCAGCATCTGAATCTGAATTCATGCGAAAATGTTCTCTTAGTTTATTTATACTGTGATAAATTACTAATTAATTAATCAATAGAGATTAATCAAACGATTTATATATATTTAATACAAAGTCGGAACGCGAAGTCGTCGGCGATAAAACGGCCGATAATGAAAGTCGAAAATCACTTCTTAATAGAGGGGAGTTACTATAATAAAGATTGCGCTCTCTGAAACAATCGGAGAACGAGTTACCATCGCGAGCCGATAAATCTGGCAACTCGTTAAATACAACCACTCGTGGTAGCTCCGGGCACATAAACTCGGATTAGTTTCGGTCGTGGTGTAAGAGTAATCCCGCGTAGTTTGATCCGATGAAGTTCTGATAGTGATAGCGATTTCCCTGGCAACGTCATATCGGATTCGCCGCGTCTCGCTAACGCTATTAGCGTGCCGCCATCTTGTTATAAATCAATGTCTCGAATATATCAAGCCGCATTAGAGAAAAACACAATTTTATACGGTGACAATTTTGTTAAGTAACAAAAATACTTACGTCATGTCAGAAAAGCAATTTTGTTTTTTTTTTCTTCTAATTTTTTCTTTTTAATTATTATTTAGCGATATTATTTAACTAACATTCTCTGTACATTGCTCGCACACAGTATCAAAAGATAATTCTTTGGAAATTAATTAAAACTGTGTATACTGATTTTTCTAAGATTAGATAACATGCGCTGCAATATTATTTTTGCAAACAAATGTCATGGCAATGATAGAACGAAATTGTGTCACGAAATTAGTGGCATCTCGCTAAAAGTTGACAGCTATAATTAACGCTCGCGGGTAAATTGTTTTCCCAGTCGCCGCGCATACGTTTTTAATTCGCCATATCTTCGGGAACTTCCTTTTTATTTCGTCGAGCCCGACTTGTATAACTCACAAGAGATATATAACACTAAGGTATTACATTTTTCCACAAGCTTCCTCCATGATAAATTTTGCAGCTCGCGGTGTTAATGGCACCGTGTGGTATTAGCTGGAAGCTTCAGGACGAGGTCGAGCGATAAAGCTTGCGAGAAATATACGCATCTTTATATATTTCGCGCTAAAATAATCATTTTTATCTTATAAGAGGAAGCGCGCTCTTTAAATTATATTAATTTCATTATTTTTAATAATTATCTATTAATTATTTTATTTGAGTCAGTCTTTATTTTCACGCAAATCTGCAGAAGAGAATTGATTAGTAAAAATATTCTTTTTCATACATTTCAATTAAATCTCAACTAAATCTAGATGGGCGAAAATTAATATTTATTATTTAGTTTTCCTACTCTCTCTCTCTCTCTCTCTCTCTCTCTCTCTCTCTCTCTCTCTCTGTCTCTCTGTCTTTCTCTTTTTCTCTATTTCTCTTTTGCAAAAAATCTAAATTAAAAATAATTATGCGTCAAAGAAGAAAATATATATGTGACCAAATTAATTAATTTATAATAACTGAATCAGTACCGAAATATATTTTAATAAAAATTTATATTTTAGTGGTGCAAAAATTATATTTATATTTTAACACAATTTCTGTTATAACAAATTGAATAATTAATAGCACCATTTGCGTACATATTTATATATATATAATAAATTAAAATTGATAGTAAAAATATTGATATTAATTGTTAATAATGATTAACGAGAAGGCCTTTAGCGGCTTTGAAATCTTCTGACTTTCTCGATTACTGTTTTGCAGACGTCATTATACCGGTCCGAGGGGACGTCCCGAGGGTTCGCGGGGGTAATGCTCTTGGCGAGCGCAAGTGAGGAGCCCCGGGCGGCCTTTTCTCCCTTCGTGCCCATCAAGGGAGGAGGAGAGGGACTCGGTCGGTCCCAGGTCCACCAGCAGTTGCGACTGCAACCGATAAAGCGGCGGCCAGCGGGGGGAAGCGCCTCGTGGTGCACGGCGGTGCTCCTCTAACGGCGGCTAGGAGGGAGTTATGGTGTCTCGCGCATGCAATGACTGTGGCCGCCGCAGCCGTGACACTGTGGCATCGTGCCCACCTCTACAAGGCGCTCGCCTGCGTCGTCCTCGCCCTGATCGCCGTCCAGTACCTGCTTAGCGGCGGCGTGCTCGATCGTCGCTCCATCGAGACCATTTTCACGATCAACGCGACCAGGTGAGTGTCCTGCTGTCTATTCGATTCGTCTCAAATTATGAAATATAATCGATGGAATTGATCATCGATCGAGATGACAGATTGATTATCCGACACTTGGTAGACGAATCGAGAGCTTTCGACTCGTTATATATTCCTTGCGATAAACCCGTCTTTTACATCTATGGCGGAGCATTAAGTATTTATTCCAGTTTCGTGCAAACTTCAACGCGCCCCCGTCTTAGAAGCTGTGAATTTCGCAGAATCCGCTGTGCTTAAATTCCGCCCAGTATGCCTGCCATTCGCATGTATTATCGCGAGGATGGGAGACGCACGCGTTCTCGTAATTCTCCGCTAATTGCGAATGTCGGATTCCCGGTTTAATAATTAGCCGACTCGTCGTTATTCATCGTCGCTCGCGAGTTTGTATTGTGTTGCGTCATGAATTTACGGTGCGAACGATAGACTCCGCGCACTGTTGTTGACGTGAACTTTCCGCGAGCAAAACTTTCGCGGAGGATGTCTCGTTCGTGATAATTGAGCTGGATTTATATTCAACTTTACCGTGTGTGTGTTACACTCGTAACGATTATTTCTGGAATAACTGTAATAGAAAGCAGTTAGAGTTTAATTAATCTTTTATGTGTGTTGGCAGCATTTAAAATTTACGGTGTAATTATTAAGAGTTGTTCTATTATTCGCAAATAATATATTAATGATGTATCATGACTAATTGAAAAGGAGTATATTTGATTTATAAGGCAAAATAATGCAGTGAAAATTAAAAAAGGAGTATATATATATATATATACATACAGTATATAAAATATTAAGTAATTTATAATTACTAAGTATAAAAAAGTTAAAGTTTGAAAAGCTTAATTCTTTTTAAAAGAAGGTTGTTGCTTACGTGCTCCATTTTTTAGCGATCACGCGGATAATTACACAGAGCTTGCCATAGCGCGTTGAAAAGATAACGCTTAAAATGAAATTGAATAACGACGTAAAGGGAAAATATACGCTGCTGTAAAACGGTCGGATAAAAGAGCGGATTGAATCACTCCCTTCTCGCAATAGCGTTCAACCAACTCCATTATTCGCAAGCGAAATTTAATTGTTAAATCGTTCATCGCCGTCATAATCGCCGTTCATCGTATTATTTAGTTTGAAGGCCGTGAATAAAGCGCAAATTATGATCGGATTCTACTGAAACATTTTTTTTTGCGCTTATACCACTTGCTTATTATTATTATTATTATTATCATAAAACCGCGACTGTAATGTAATTTTCAACATTGTGATGGATACTTTGAGTGCGTGCAGCGAACCGCGTTAAGTAACATCGATGCCAGATACGAGTAACGAACCGCGTAATCGCATTCGGCCCGTTGCAAAATTATCCATTGCCCCACCCTTTCCCCTTTTTGGAATCTTGTTAATAATTCAGTTACATCACCGATGATTTCAATCGGTAGTCGCTTTGATAGTTTTATACGAAGCTATTAAAATATATAAATTTGAGGTTGACTATAATTTGTCAAAAATTTAACTCCTGTCGAAAAGAAGACACCGTTGAATATGTTTTAATTAGAGTTATAAATTTTATTAGGCAAAATAATGCAGTGAAAATTAAAAAAGGAGTATATATATATATATATACATATATACGATTAATATTATACATATCCATTGATACCACAATAGAAATTATCATAATCCATCTTGTTATCCTCAAATTTTTTTTTATGTAAACTACTATAAGATTATTTAAGATTCATTAAATGATTACGATATAATATTCTAATTTTATGTATTATAAATATAATATTAAACAGTATATAAAATATTAAGTAATTTATAATTACTAAGTATAAAAAAGTTAAAGTTTGAAAAGCTTAATTCTTTTTAAAAGAAGGTTGTTGCTTACGTGCTCCATTTTTTAGCGATCACGCGGATAATTACACAGAGCTTGCCATAGCGCGTTGAAAAGATAACGCTTAAAATGAAATTGAATAACGACGTAAAGGGAAAATATACGCTGCTGTAAAACGGTCGGATAAAAGAGCGGATTGAATCACTCCCTTCTCGCAATAGCGTTCAACCAACTCCATTATTCGCAAGCGAAATTTAATTGTTAAATCGTTCATCGCCGTCATAATCGCCGTTCATCGTATTATTTAGTTTGAAGGCCGTGAATAAAGCGCAAATTATGATCGGATTCTACTGAAACATTTTTTTTTGCGCTTATACCACTTGCTTATTATTATTATTATTATTATCATAAAACCGCGACTGTAATGTAATTTTCAACATTGTGATGGATACTTTGAGTGCGTGCAGCGAACCGCGTTAAGTAACATCGATGCCAGATACGAGTAACGAACCGCGTAATCGCATTCGGCCCGTTGCAAAATTATCCATTGCCCCACCCTTTCCCCTTTTTGGAATCTTGTTAATAATTCAGTTACATCACCGATGATTTCAATCGGTAGTCGCTTTGATAGTTTTATACGAAGCTATTAAAATATATAAATTTGAGGTTGACTATAATTTGTCAAAAATTTAACTCCTGTCGAAAAGAAGACACCGTTGAATATGTTTTAATTAGAGTTATAAATTTTATTTGAAAGAAAAAATGGACTTTTACTTAAATAATATTTTTACTACTTATCGAAAAAATGTTTCTGTCTATGACAAATTTGTTATAATTATTAAATCTCTCCACTTTTTACAATTGTTTGATGTACTTTCGATAAACCGATACTTTTAAAGATAACATCAATTCATTATGCTTCAATTTTGTGCGCATTTATTTTGTAATATATGAGTGAGAGATATAACGTGTTATCCCCATGCGGATTTTCATACATCCCCGCATTTGTATGCGGCACGTGTAACTGAGTAACCTATAGCTTAAGATCGATTCTTATCTTTTGGGGCTCACGGCAGACACGCGGGAAATCTCATTACCCGGCTACGTAACGTGGCAAAGTGGCTGCTTAACGACAGCGCTGGTACACGCGCGATTTACGGAGCTCTCGTAATGGGAAATAATCGGTCGCTCACGCTGCGAGAGACATATAGAGTATAGAGCCGCTATCGATCGGATACGAGTAACGACGTTGAATCTAACGAGGGGGGTGATTTTGTAAACGAAATCTCGCAAAAACTGAAATCTTTAAAAGATTTTGAAAAAAATAAAATTTTTCTTTTACGATTTTGCACTTCTTGAAACTTTATTCTGCGATATTTTTTCAATCGTTCATAACTTGAAAATAGACAATATTTTGGATATATATATATATACATATATATAGGAAAATCTTTTATGGATTTATTACAAAATTTATCATTGAAGTTAAGACTGATACTTCTGGGAATGTAAATAATTACATATTATTTTTTACATTTTTTCTCTCAAAAATTACAAACGAGAGAGAGTGCCCGCGAAAAATATTATACACGAGAGACATTACACACAAAGAATTTCATTTTGTGACTCTTTTGACGCTGCACTTTTTCACTGTCGTTTTTAATCTCTGCAATTATAGGCGCTTTTGGCGCTTACGCTCGAGCTGCAGCGGCGAAATGAAAGACGCGTCTCGCCTTCGTGTCGCAACGACCGCGCTGTTATTATCACGAAGCAACACGCCAACGAACGTGCGGCGACCAGAGGTTCGCTTTTGCAGCGCGTTTCGCTGGCGTATAACGCGCTCTTTTGGCCGGTCAAGACTAAGGCTGGCTCTCTCAAATGGAAAACATGCTCTCGTACAATGCTGATAATAGTATACGATGTATGTACATCGGATACTGTTGATTCATTTAACGCTATTATCTGGAAATTTCTTTGCGGTATAGCTTTGAAGTTTCGTGCAATTGTATTAAAGAAAGAGGATAAGAGGAAAAAAACGCATTGCAATATAAGCTTCTCAAAATTATATGAGTATAATATTAATATAGTATATTATTAATATAATATTAATAATTATATAATATTATTATATTATAATATTAATTAATAAGTAATAAATCAT